TTGGGACCCAAGTCTCATTTAACTTTCATTTGACACTGGGTGTCCGGCTCCCTGGACCGAGCCAGGGAGGGAAGTGGGGCTCAGTCTCAGGTGGTCCTGGCCTTCTCCTCGCCCTCCTGCTGCCCAAGAAGCAGGGGTCCCCTGCTTGTCTGTCCACTGGTGTCCCTAGAAGGTGGCAGCTCTGCGGGGTGCAGGAAATGAGAGAACCAGCTGCCATGGCTTCTTGACACTGCACTCCATTGGGAGGGGCTCTCTCTTGGGAGGACACCAGCCGCCCGTGCTGCTGTTGGCAGCGTGACTAAGAGCCACTGACCGCCGTTCCCCTCTGTCCCCAGAGAAGTACGCCCAGCACTGGTGCTCACGACTGACCGACACCGACGGCCCCTTCACCCGGTGCCACACCGCCGTGGACCCAGCCACCTACTACTCGGTAGCGTGCGCCCACCCGCCTCTCGCCTCCCAGCGGAGGCCCGGCTGCTGGGCTGAGCGGTGCCACAGGCAGCGGGGTCTGCCATCAGACCTGTGTCTCCAGCTCCACCCTCACCCATACGCTCGCTCACTCATGCATTCACTGAGCCGCCCGTTCTCTCGTGCAGTATTCATTCATTCATTCCTTCATTATCTCACTCATCCATTCCCTCATGCACTCACTCACTCCCTCACTAATGCAGTCATGCATTCATTCGTTCATTATTCACTCATTCATTCATTCATTCACTCATTCATTCCTTCATTATCTCACTCATCCATTCCCTCATGCACTCACTCACTCACTCACTAATGCAGTCGTGCATTCATTCATTCATTATTCACTCACTCATTCATTCATTCACTCACTCATTCCTTCATTATCTCACTCATCCATTCCCTCATGCACTCACTCACTCCCTCACTAATGCAGTCATGCATTCATTCGTTCATTATTCACTCACTCATTCATTCATTCACTCATCCATTCCCTCACTCACTCACTCACTAATGCAGTCGTGCATTCATTCATTCATTATTCACTCACTCATTCATTCATTCACTCACTCATTCATTCCTTCATTATCTCACTCATCCATTCCCTCATGCACTCATGCACTCACTCACTAATGCAGTCATGCATTCATTCATTCACTCACTCATTCATTCATTCACAGCATGTTTACTGAGTTAGTCTTGTGCCTGTGGCCCTATAGCAGGCACAGGGATAAACCCCAAGGGTTTGTGGCTAGCGAGGCCCCAGGGGCCAGTAGGAAGTCAGACAGTGGCCAAGGTGATGTGCTGTGTCTGAGGTGGGGCATGGGCCTGTTGGGTCCTTCCAGCACCTCCCTGCCCTATACCCTATATAGGTGCACCCTGCGGTTCTGCTGAGGGAGTGGGTGGACCCCTAGTGAGGACTCGGGGGGCGTCCTGGGGGCGGCTGAGAAGATCGGTAGATGCGGGGGTGGAGGGATCCAGGCAAGGGCTGGGCTATGGAGGAGGGCAGGCAGCCTAAGGGATGTTCGCTGGGTATGGGCTGGGTCCCCTGACCCCTGACCCCTGACCCTTGACCCCCAGAACTGCATGTTCGACACGTGCAACTGTGAGAAGAGCGAAGACTGTCTGTGCGCGGCCCTGTCCTCCTACGTGCATGCCTGCGCCGCCAAGGGCGTGCTGCTCAGCGGCTGGAGGGGCGGCGTCTGCAGTGAGTGGTGGCGGCCCACGGTCCTGGCACACCCCACCCAGTGTCCCCTAGTGGCTCAAGCAGAGGCTCCCAGTGCCCACACTGCCTCAGAAGCCAAGGAGCTCCCAGGCTGTTGAGGTCCCAGGACCCTAGCCAGGGGGCATCTGGGGACAGCCTGGGGCAGAGGGAGAGAGACCAGCTGCTGACTGCCAGTCTCTGTGCCCTCAAGTGTCCTGAGTGTCCTCTCCCCTGGCACCCCGCAGCAAAGTCATTGACCACCTGCCCCAAGTCCATGACCTACCACTACCATGTCAACACCTGCCAGCCCACCTGCCGCGCCTTGAGCGAAGAGGACGTCACCTGCCAGGTCAGCTTCGTCTCCGTGGACGGCTGCACCTGCCCCACAGGCACCTTCCTGGATGATGCTGGCAAGTGTGTGTCGGCCACCAGCTGTCCCTGCTACTACAGGGGCTCCGTGGTCCCCAACGGGGAGTCGGTGCACGACAGCGGAGCCGTCTGGTAAGAGCCCCTCGGGTGGGCTGAGTCCCGGGCACTCGCTGGCCAGGAGTGGACACTCTGAGCACCCTCCCCTCTGTCCTCACAGCACCTGCACACGGGGCAAGCTGACCTGCGTTGGAGGCACTGTCCCCACCTCAGGTGAGCCCTCAGTCCTCATTGTCCCCAGGAGCAGCCCTGAGGAACGGCAGGGTTTGTTGTCGGTCAGCTTGTGCATCAGGTGTGGTCTGTGCCCCTGGCTCGGCGAGGGGGGAGGGAAGGGGTGTGGGCACACCCCCACACGTGACATACCACACACATAACACACGGTGCACATAACCCAGCACGCACACACTCATGTACCCACAGCACGGACACGCACCCCATCTGCACACCCAGAGCAGCCGCAGACTCAGCCATTGGGGAACACGTGGGTCAAGGCGTTGCGGCAGCCCATGTCCTTCAGAGTGAGCCTAGCAGGTGGTGGGTTGGGGTCCTCTGAAAGGCCCTCTCCCCTCCCCAGAATGTGCCGCACCCATGGTTTATTTTGACTGCCGCAACACCACATCCGGGGACACTGGGGCTGGCTGTCAGAAGAGCTGCCACACCCTGGACATGGCCTGTGTAAGTGCCTGGTGACCCCTCATAACCCCTCATGACCCCCTGAGACCCCCTGTGACCCCTCACCACTCCCACCTGCTATGGGCTCCTGTGCAGACCCCTCAGGCCCCCCTCATGGCCGCTCCTGGGGTGGGGGGCTGCCAAGCTCAGGAACGCACCAGCAGGACACTGCCCATGCTCGCTGGCCGCGCCGTCACCAGTGTGCGTGCCCCCACAGTACAGTTCCCAGTGTGTGTCTGGCTGCATCTGCCCCGATGGGCTAGTGGCAGATGATAATGGCAGCTGCATCGCGGCAGAGGCCTGCCCCTGCGTGCACAACGAGGCCAGCTACCAGGCTGGCCAGAGCATCCGCGTGGGCTGCAACACCTGGTACGTGTGGGCTCAGGGCCTCGTGGGGGGAAGGGCCGACACCCCATGGGCAGCCCAGTCAGTGAGGCCCGACAGCATGCACATGCAGGCCGGGTCCTCCGCAGGGCCATAGGCT